TATTGCATTTAAATTTGATTTCAGATGTTTTTTAGCCTTGTAATTTTAGACACCAGGAAAACATAAAAAAAATTGTACACTAAATCATTGTTTTTAAATTTTATGCGCCTACAAAATTTGATATAATCGTGACATTAATGATAAAAATGCATAAAGCCACAGGAATACAATGGTTTGATCACCTTGGACTTTCTTCCGCGTACTATCTCAATGACCCAGACTGAATTTTCAATTTTATTTTTTTAATGCACAGAATATCATGTCATTTTTGTTTTGAGTTTAAATCAACCATTAGTGTATTACGCCTAATTGATATAGACTCTATTATATGTTATGTATTCAAACTATAGTGTATACATTCATTTATAGTAATAAAATAATAAAGTGAAAAATTTTATTCTATTGGGCACTTTCTTTTAGAAGGCTAGAATAATCTACGTTACTATATATTTTTTATAGTGTAAAATGAGATATAACGGCACCTGATCAACGTTAGTATAAATACGTTGGGCCAACAAGGTTTGATGACGTTGCGTAAACATTATCGGTCCGACGTTGACTCAACTAGTCGGATTAACGTCTTTACAACTGCCTGAATCGACGTTGGCCCGATGGAAAAGCGAGCGTCTAGGCAACATCAGAAAAAGTACGTTGGATGGCCCAATGTAGTTTGATGACGTTGCACAAACATATCAGCCCGGACGTTCCTCCCACTAGTCGAACCGACGTCTTTCCAACTGGCTGAATCGATGTTGGCCCGATGTAAAAACGAACGTCTAGGTAACATTACGTTGTACGTTGGGCCAACGTGATTGGACGACGTTGCACAAACATTATCGGGCCAACGTAGATCCAACTAGTCGGGCCGACGTCTTTCCAACAAGCTGAATCCACGTTGGGCCGATGGAAAAACGGCCGTCGGGCCAACCTTTGTGTAAGTACGTTGTGCCAACGTAATTATTTGACCTTCAACAAACGTCGGCCCGACGTTGATCCAACTAGTCGGGCCGACGTCTTTCCAACAAGCTGAATCCACGTTGGGCCGATGGAAAAACGGCCGTCGGGCCAACCTTTGTGTAAGTACGTTATGCCAACGTAATTATTTGACCTTCAACCAACGTCGGCCCGACATTGATCCAACTAGTCGGATAGACGTCTTTGCAACTGGCTGAATCGACGTTGGCCCGATGGAAAAACGAACGTCTAGGCAACGTCAGAAAGGTACGTTGGGCCAACGCGATTGGTCGACGTTGCACAAACATTATCAGCCCGACGTAGATCCAACTAGTCGGGCCGACGTCTTTCCAACCAGCTGAATCCACGTTGGGCCGATGGAAAAACGGCCGTCGCGCCAACCTTTGTGTAAGTACGTTGTGCCAACGTAATTTTTCGACCTTCAACCAACGTCGGGTCAACGTCGCTTGCTAGCTGGGCAAAGTTTAGAAGCATAACAAGGAAATGAAAAACCTCCAATTCTCTTGTTGTAACGGAGGGATCTATGATCATGGTATTAAGGTCGATAACGTACTGCAACTACTGAAATTGTTAAAATAACTTGCTTTTATAAAGAGGAAATAAGTATTTCTACATTTTTTTTACTCCTGTATTGGTTGTCTTTGTGCAAATCATATCTTTGTTCAAAATAGCTCTCAAGAAACATCTGTTGTCGGCTGCTTTTTCTTAGTTATCTTGTTTGCCTTGCTTGCTTGCTGAATTTGTTATAGTTAGATACCCCCATTACTTGAGCACCCATGAGTTATGATAGGCCGGCCCTGTGCCTCAAATTGCCTGTAAACCGGGCGCGGTAATGGTGTTATGTTTCTCTTCTTGTAGCTTTTAGGTTCACGGTAATTTTTGTTCCTTCCTTGGGTAGTGTCTTGAACACTACTGCAGTGAATTTGTAAATAACAAAAACGAAGATGTAACTCATTTCTTATCATTTTCTTAAGGTTTCGAAACCTCCTTACCTACCGTAAACGGTATATCTAAAAATGTAGTCCCCATTAAAGTCTCGCAATGAGACGACGTAAAGCAGACGAGAATTGCCTATGACGGAACACGTAGATGAATGGGTTGACTGCCGAACTCATACACAACAACACCTCCGATATCAAATCATACCAATATATATCAGAACGTTGAAAAAATATGAAGATAACACCTCTGATAGCAAAAGGTAAATAGGCAATGACGAATACGCAGACTATCAATGCGCATGTCTTGGCCGCTTTAAATTTCTTATGAATAGTTGTCTGTGCGCCGACTGTCTTCTGAGATGTTGGATATATGGTATTTATATGCTTCCTTGCCACCTTGAAAATATTGAAGTACATTATGACCATTAAGATTACACATGTAAGACCCAGGATCAAAGCGACGTAACGTTGAACTGTAATACCTTGTGGATTCATCTGGTAGCAAAGAAAAATATCTTCAGTCCGTTTGCCTTTCCAGAGAAATTGGATGCCGCTATACATGCAGGCTATAATCCAGGAGACAGTGATAGCACAATAAACTCGGGTCGGAGTAACAATTTGTTCATATCTTAAAGATTTAGCTATTGAGACGTATCGGTCCGTGGTAATAAAAACAAGATGAAGAAACGACGTCGATACAAAAATTTGCGTGGGGATGTATTGTAATTGACAGTTTTCAATGTTCGGTAGGTGGAGAGATCCACGAATGACAAGCCCCCACACAAGGATGGGGACAGCGATAATCCCAGTGAGTAGGTCAACAAATGCTAAGCTGGCGAGTAAAGTAAACTGTGGCCCTTGTAAACTTGGAGTTCGGCGAATGATAGTGAGAACAAATGCGTTTCCACAAATGATCACCAAGTCTAATGGTAAATAAACAATTAAAACAAATATTAGATTATCCCTAATTTCATTGGTCGTGACGTTTCGGCTGACAGTAAAATCCATTTTACAGTCGAAAACAGAACTTAATCAAGCCGCATTCCAGCAAGCCGCACTCTCATAATGACAACTGAAACAGAAAATGCTATTATACTGTACATATAGTAGTCCGACGACGTGACGTCACTAAGCACTATACTAATTTCCTTCAATACAGAAGAATATACAACTAGAGGGCACTCTCAGAGTGCATACCTCCGCCCACATCATAAATCTCATCTGAATAAATTTCGCACTCATTTTTCCCATGAAAAAAAATGTTCAGTGCAGTGCTAATGCCTAAATGGCTTGGCCGGTAATAAGATGTTAAGTTCAGGACGGACAATTAAATAAAAGATAATGAAAAAATAAATAAATAAAAGATATCATGAGACTCTAACCTGGTATAAATAGTGTGGAAAACACTCTCTAAAGCACCCAACCAAACTGTTTTCACCCGTATAGGTGTGAAATTAATGACAGTGTGTTTTGTTATACTTCTTCGGCAAAACCCAGTATAAGCACACAAACACACGTAGTTCGTTCATTCGAGCGGTAAAGGTGCACGTTTTATGTGTAAAGCTAATCGACTGTATTTTGTCCGAAATATCTTAAAAACGACTTCACAGGCTTAATTGAAAATAAACCCAATAAAGAAATAATTAAATCAAAGTGACGGTCCAGAGTAGGGTGTGGATGTGAGGACCACTTAAATGAATTTAAGAGCAAACATCATAGACAACAGATATGAATGGCATTTTTGTGAAACTTAATAACCAAGTTACAAGGAAGAAATTGTTAAGTGTTGCTGACGATCCAAATTCAGGTGTGAATTTGAGGGTCATTTAAATCCTAAGGTCCCAAACCTAAATATCCCCAAAAATAGTCAATGGCTCTAAATGACACTACCCAGAATATTTTGTCATATTTCGATGAAGAAATGTTTAAATGTTGGTGACCATCCGGAGTAGGGTGTGGATATGAGGATCATTAAAAGGAAAATGTTCCAGACCAGACATTTCAAAAACTAATCAAGTAACCTGAATGAAACTTTCGTGAAAATTTAACCAAGTCACAAGCTTGGCTTAACTAAACAACAAAGCATTGCGATTGAGCGCATCCAAACTCGGGTTTGTCGGTGCATTCTGGCCGATAACTTCACTAGTTATGGTGATGCCCTTTCGCAGCTTGGACTGGAGAGACCGGCCGACCGCAGGGTCTCACTATGTACAAAATTTGCTACAAAAGCTGCAAAATCTAATAGATTTCATAACTGGTTCCTAACTAATAATGCATGTCACACCATGACACTACGCAAAAATAGCCATACAAAGAATATAAAACACGATTTATAAATAGCCCCTTACCATCATGACCAAAATCCTGAACTCACTTAGTAATTAGACCCTGGGGACGGTGGTTTCTTCGGCCTAAGCATTTGACACAGATGCGCCTTGCTGTGCATGACTCCTGCGGATTGAACGGTTATTTTTTTTTTTTACAGTGTTTAAGATTTAATTTTGACTTAGATTTAACTTTTAAAATATACAAAATTAAATCTTAAACAATAGTATATATATTTATTGACTTTTAACTTAAATTGTTAAATTTGTCTTGTATTTCTTCTTTTGTAACTCTCGTCTTTGTATTTTGTGATTTCGTCTGTCTTTTTAATGTCTCTAATAAATTTCATATTTAATATTGCAAAATTTTAAAAATGATTTGTAAATTTTTATTTGCCAATTTTATATCTTTGTAATTTTACTCAGTCTTTCAACTCAGCATATGCTGCAACAGTGAAAAAAGAACAGTATGTGAGGTTCTTTTTTACAATAAATATACCCAAATACAAGGAAGATATTATGAAGTGTTGGTGACGATCCAAATTCGGGTGTGCATTTGAGGGCCATTAGGTCCAAGACCTAAGAATCTAAAAAATGGACCAATGGATCAAAATGACGCTTTCCAGAATAGTTTGTCTTGTTTTAATGAAGAAGTGTTTATTTTGGTCACGATCCGAAGTAGGGTTTGGATATGAGAACCTTTTAAAAAATATGCTTACCGTATACCGTGTAGACAGATAACAGTAGCTGTATGATGAATATTCAAATTAGTGCAATTACAGTAAATGTATACAGCGTTTTATATGTACTAACTTCAGTTTTTGTGAACTGATTGGGAATATTTTAATGCATCTTTATATTTAAAGATGTGACGCTAAGAACCATTGACTATACAGTATTTCCATTTCAACACCAATACTTGGTATGTATTTTTTTTGTCAATTATAAAAGTAAATTTGTCCATGAAACTACCTAAACTTGCCACAAGTCCCTAATTTATTTATTTTTCATAGTATTAGCACATTTCGGAAAGCGCCACCAGCGTCAGTTTATGTCGAGAAACTTTTTAATGCGAATTAGATTATTCCAGAAAAAGTATACTATGGAACGCCATGCAAATAAGTAATATGGAACGCTATTGGGGCCAAAATCGAATCTTAAGCATTTTAACTGATTAAGACAAAGTTTAGGGACTGAAACCCAGTCTAGAAACTACCCAAAGCCGATAGGAAACCAGTTAAAAGTGCGTTTGGCGATATGACCAAGCTGATATCGAACATGCAAAGTGTCTCTGGGAATGCTTACCTGCAGATTTTTTTGATGTCCCAAACTGCGATTCCTCTTGGACTCTGTGGGGGAAATTGTTTTCTTGCTACTACTTCTGATTGTGTTCCACATAATATATTACTACTGGTAAAAATCTTTCCTGATTTACTCAAGAAATTCACACTCAAATGCAAAACAATCTCTACCGTCGTGCCCAAGAGGTCGACCGGCACGCCAGAACATTGGTCCAGGTGTCGTAAAATTAGAAACTTAGTAGTTAAGGCCAAGAATTGCGTCTTGCCAAACATAATTATTTTAAAAGAGTTTGTGAAGACCCAACGCCCAAGTCAATCTGGAAGGGAATGAATAATTTTATGAAAAAAACAAATGGACCAGCGAAATTGTTGTGTTCTAGACGCCCGAAAATAACTTTTGAGGCGTTCTGAGCTATCATTTTTTTCTTTTTTTTTCCAAAAAGGGAGGGGGTGGGCCGCCCCTGCCCCTCCCCCTAAATCCGCCCCTGCGTAGATCAACTGTCTCAGCTCTAGTCAAATGAATGGCATGGATTACTTGACTCGGGCAGTGATGCTAGTTGTATTTTCTTCGATCTCCGTAAAGCTTTTGATTAAGCTCCGTTCCAATCTCTTTTTAATAATTTATATGTAACCGGAATTAATCCTGCATTATTTGGCCTTCTTACTAGTTACCTTAATAATCGTTTCCATCGTGTTGTAATTGATGGATGTGATTCTGAATGGGTTCCAACTTTCTCTTGTGTTCCTCAGGGCTCCCTCCTGGGCCTTCCTTTTTCTTTCTTACAGCGATTCTGTCACTAATACGCCTCTTTCTATAATCCAAACTTACTTTATTTGCTGATGATATGTTGCTTTACTCGCCACATAAAACTTGACACTAAAGACCCCTTTTGAGAATGACATCAACAAAGTTAGCTGTTGGATATCTGAAAACAATTTAAAAGTGAATACGAAGAAAACAAAATTCATGTTATTATCGCGTCTAATCGTCCAAAATTCTCCTTTAAAATTAACGAACCGATGATTGTCACTAACGGCAACCGGGTAAACAATGGAACTGTCAAACCCACTCATGTGGAAAACGTAAACAATATACACAGTGCAGTGAAGCCTGTATTTCTTAAAGCAGATCAGATTCCAACTGAAAATAATAAAACGTACTGTAGAGATGAAGAATTATGCATTGCCTTAACAAATATTATCGCTTCAGATAATATTATTGGAGTACAAAAAATCCGTAATTTGTGGAGAATTTATGTTAACAACAGGGGTGACAGAGTACGGTTAATATCAAATGGAATCAATATTAGGAACAGTAATATATCTGTATATGACAGAAATCCATATATTACATATAATTCTAGTGAAACAACTAGAATCCTTATTAAAGACATTCCATTGTCTGTTGCCGACTCAGAAATTGCCAATCGTCTAAAATCGCTAGGATGTAAGCCGATAGGGGATGTTATCAAAATGAAAATTCGAGTTAACGGAAAATTGACCAGTTGGTTGAACGGGGACAGAGCAATTTTCGTGGAAAAACTAGCGACGTCAATACCCAGACAGCTGACTATAAATGGTTTTAGAGCCCGAATATTCCACGAAGGACAAGAACTGAAATGCAAAAAGTGTCTAAAAATTGGGCATCTTGCACACGCATGTAAGGCTGAAATTGTTTGCCTGAAATGCCATCAGGAAGGTCATGCAAAAGATAATTGTATGTTTGAAACCGGTCAAAAATCAACTACATCCATAGGATCAGCTGGATCATACATAACCCAGATGTGGGAGTCTTTCGTGAACACAAAACAATCAGATGAAGTTCTCACGGGGGCGTGTGACGACGGAAAGACCAGTATTACAGTGCAGACCGAGTCAGATAAGGGTGACAAAGATAGTGTGTTCTGTACAAGAGATAACACAATCACAGAAGACAGCAGCAGTAGCGGTGATGAACGTGAGATAAAAGATGCCTGCGAAATCAGCACACTCAATTTGGAAGAAAGCGTAACAGAGGGTGAAACTTCATGTAGTAAAAACAAGGCCCCAGGTGACATTCAAGCGAATGTAATTTCCGAACAGAAGAAGGTAACAGACTTCTTTGAATCCTCTTCGCCTAAGGAGAAGTGTGGCGATCACAAAAGACAGGATACAAACAGGAACGAAAAACCTCAATCCAAAAAATGGAAAGAAGGTAAGACAACGGATGCCCTAAAGCAAAACATAAACCCTGTGAAAGAAACACCGCCACAAAATAACCAAAGACAGCTGAGAAAGAAAAAGAAACACTACTACAAGTAATTCCACACTTCTTTAATACACGTATAGGCTACTCGTAAATAATTCATTTGCATTATAATCATAAACTATAATTTTAAATACTGTATACTACTACTTTGTATAAAATTGTATATAGGAGCTTCTTTTAATTACATATCATGACCTTTATGCATTTAATTTCTTTAAATGTCAGAGGGTTGCGAAATAAAAATAAACAAAGGAAAA